GAGTTGTAAAGTGGCATAATTCACGTCTGATTGGAGTAGAAATGGCTAAAGCTTTGTCCTTCCTGTTTGCATAACCATGCCTACAACTGTTTGAGCATATTAAACAATACCGAACCCTTATCGACAACCAGCCTGTGAGATCAGTGGACTCTGTGAAGGTCTATTTGGCTTTTCTTCTCTCAACACCGCCGTGATGATTTCAATCTATCGATTTTTAACTATCGTTAAGCCATGCCAACCAGCTTCAAACATAAGCCACCGATGCGCCTTGCTGATGATTGCAGTCGCCTGGTTGTGGTCTCTCTTTTGCTGCTCTCCTCCATTCTACGGTTTTGGTGAGTTCCTTTATTCACAAAGTAACTATTTTGTTTTGTGTACTACTGTTGTACCCCCCAGTAGTAGGCGGCGGGAACAGAAGACAAGACAGGGTAGCGCAGAATGAGCCTTCCTGTCAGCTGGAATGTCTGAGTTAAATTAAATGCAGAAGAATTGAAATAGTGTTGCTAACTTGTGAAGTAAAGCCATCGTCTCTGTCACGCTATTCGTGAAAGTATATTGTTTGCATCTGCTGTAAGCCAAATAAATGCGTACTGATCAAAAGCGATGGTAACAACGTTCATCAAAATGTGGAACACTGTGTCGATAATGGCACGTTTGTTGTGGCCGAAGAAATCAAGCGGCGACGCACCGAGCTGGAATAGACCGACTGAAATAGCTCTATGTTTATTTTACTCTTAAAAGGATCTTTAAATCCACACCAGGCACGCATGTCTAGATATTGAAAGAACAGGAGTATAATGCGCATGCAATCAATTACATGGTTATTAAAGGGGACAATTAAAAGGTGGAATATAACTAAATAAGAAAATAACGAGGCAATGTATAAAGCGGTCGATGTAGAGTGGGAGATGGTTATGTCATATTATTTATACACTGGTGGGTGTTTCACGTTTTCGCCGACTGTGGGCAACGAACTGAAGGCAAGCGCGGGGAAGTACGTCAATGGTAGGG